GCTTGAGGCGCCCAAGACGGCCCGAGAGGGCTCCAAGAGCCCCAAGAGAGGCTCAAGAAGGGGAACGCGACCCAACAGCAGAGCGTTCCCCCCAAACGGCCCACAGGAGGCCGCAAGAGGCCCCCAAGTGGTTCGACGAGGACCCCAAAAGCTTCCCGAGGACCTAAAAGGCCTCTAGGAGACGTCCAAGAGGCTTTAAAATAGCCCAAGAGTGCTCTCGATGCGTCAAAACTGCTTTCAGGAGGCCCCCGGGAGGCTGCCGGATTGCCTCAATCTGGCCGCAGGTGGCCTCAAGTCGTGCCTCTACGCAGCCAAGACGGCCAATGACGGCTTCAGATTGCAGAACCGATGCCCCCAAGGGACCCTCAGACGCCCCCCCAAGAAGCACCCAAGAGGTGCCTCCAACAGCAAGTTGACGAAGCATGCGGAACACCCCAGAAGCTCCTCAGGTGCCGTCGCGCGCCTGTGCTTGATAGCGTTGTCCAAGATCGTCCAGCGCCCCCCCGGCCTGGGCTAGAACCTGAGCGCGCGCGAAGCGCGCGCGATGGTTCTAGTATATATATATATATGTATATATATATATATACACATGTAGACAGATATGTGAGCTTCCCCTCTGGCCTCAACAGGCTCCCTCAATTATCTGTACACCACAACTCTGGGGCGCGGAGCGCCCCAGGGGCGCCGCCGGAGACGGTGCAATGGTACCGAAACTGCTTCGGACGACCCGGGGAGCCTGCTGAGGCTAGCCAGGACGACTTCTGGGGACTGTCTGTGTGCAGCCCTTGCGTTACCAAGGGCGTGTTGGAGGCGGAGGCGAGGTTCGATGGGGGGAGGATCATGCTGGAGGCGAGGGGGGGAAAGGGTCAAAGTGGAGGCGAGGCCCGACGTGGAGGTCCCCAGGCCACCTTGCGTGGAGGCCAGGCCCATTGTGGTGGCACGCAGTACGGACCATGTCCTTGCTTACTGCGCCAGCTTCGGGCGGTACCGATGTACCCACTGCGGAGTCACGGCCACAACGGGCTCCTCCCTCGAGTCGCTGCAAACTGGCTCTCGTCGTGTATGTCGCCCTTCGCGTGATGCCAGTGCTCTCAACTACTTCCGCGCCTTCGGCGAGGGCTGGGTTCTCTGCAGCGACCAGAGGGCTGGCATGGCCCTGGGCGCGGCCTTGGCGCTCGAAGGGAGCTCACAGCCCTCGACCCCCGCAGCCTTGTTGCCACCTGCCCGGGGGCGCCTTCGCCGCGCTTGGGCACGACGTGTTCAGGGGCAACAGTGCTTACTGTTGCAGACGCTGCGGGTCTCACTGTGCTGCGGGGGATGTCCGTACAGTGCGGAAGCTTGGCTTGAGGTGCGATGGGCTCTCGCCCAACGAGTCCACGCGCCGCCACCAGCAAGATGCGACCAGGCGCGTCCAGAAGGGCTTGGCGCCTTGTGCCCGACGTACCCCAGCACCGCCGCTCCCGCAGGGTGGCTCCTCTTGCAGCCACGCGGCGCGATAACCGACCATGTCGTGATTCGCTGCCGTTCCGTGTTCGGCTAGTGGCACGGCGTCTTCTTCGGCGGCGACGCCTTCTTCGTCGGCGGCAAGTTGGCCTGCGTCCGCGGCCTTGAGGGCGCCTTCTTCCAGCTGCTCTCTACCGTGAGTAGGCGGCGCCAGGGGGTAGTCCGTCGCGCGCTCGCGTGCGCGGCGGGAGATCTTCCTGGGGCGCTGCGCTCCTCCTCCTCCTCCTTCTCCTCCTCCTCCTCCTCCTCCTCCTCCTCCTCCTCCTCTGCCCGCGTCGCAGCACTTCCCCCGTAGCCTGTGGTTTCCCCGTGGCCTTGAGTCGGGCATGTCTCTCTACAGGAGGAATCTTCAAAAGTAGTGAACTAATCTGGGGGGCGATGTCTAGATTTTTTGTGTCATTTTTTGGATATGTCTTGAGTATTGTTCTTCTTTCGTCCAAGATTCGCCTGTAGGAGGACATGTCCGACCTGGCCGCAGCCTGTGGACAGGGCGTGGCTGGCAGCCTGGGGCGGTGGCCGCCCCCGGGGCTCCCTTCGAAAACTCCGCTCGGCGTCCGAGCCCATGATGCCGTCGGGTGGGCTGTGATCCCACCGTTCTGTTCGACTTGAGCCCGTTCGGCTGCGCAGGTGCAGGATCGTTTTAACCGATCCCTGCCCCCTTCTCCATCCCCGTCCAGATCCCCGTCATCCCCCACCCTAAGTTGGGGATGTGCCCCTCGGAATTCGAAGGGAACAGCCTGTATCCTCATCCAGGGGGATAGAGTCGGCCAGCGGGGCCCAGGCCACGCCCGTGGGGATAGGGACAGGTGAAACGATGTTCACAGTTGGCGACCGAGTGCAGCTCAAAAGGGAACCCTTTGGCAGCCAACCGTGGAGAGAATGACGAGGCACTGTTAAGATCCTTGTTTGGGAGGAGCATCGGATTCGAGGGTTGGGGGGACATCGTGGGTTGGGACTAAGCTCTCTTCGGGTGCTCTTGGGGTCCTGTTTGGGCACTTTTTGGAGTCTGTCAGGGCTTCTTGGAGCCTCAGGAACCCTCATTGCGGCCGTCTTGTGACCAGCGCGGCGTCAGGTACAGGTGGCCTTGTTGTCCGTTTCGCGGTTGGAAGCTCTCTTTGGGCCTTGTTGGGATGCTTTCTGGGTCCTCGTGGGGGCACCCAGGGACTAGGGCGATCGCCGATCGGAAGCCAGAAAGCGATAAGGCAACTTTTAACGTCGCAGCTCGGCACAGGCGATCCGTACGCGCGTCGGGGCGAAGTCGGGGCACGGCAGCGCGAATTTGCCTGCATGCAGTATGGGGGGAGGGAAGAGGCGGCCGCGGAGGAGGGGACCAGGCGCGGGGGCACACTCACGCAGCGAGGCCGCGACAGGTGCGTGGGCGCGGCCGGGCTGACGGGTAGCCCCTGGCAGCAGCTGCAGGTCGGCGTCGCAGTGCACCAGGGGGTGGGTCCAGCAGCCCCAGTGCGGGCAGGGTCCAGCAAGTGGACGAGCGGGAGCAGCAAGCAGCTGGCTGGCCAGGGCGCCGGCGGGAAGACGGGGCAGCAGCGTGGGGGCCGGCTGCGGCGGGGGGGGGAGGGCGCCGGCGCAACAACGGCTGCAGGGAACCCAGGGCGGCGGTGGCAGGGCAGGCTGCAGGGGCAGCCGAGCCGGACGACTCGCCGCGGGGCGCTGGGATGAAGCGAGGCGCGGAACGCATCCCCGTAGCCGGTGCACGGCATCACGGCAAGGAGGAAGGCGTCGCCCGGTGCAAGTCGCGCGCGGGCGGGGCCCCTGGAGGGAAAAAACGGGCTTGACAGACGTCCCGCCGCGGGAGCCGCACAGCAAAATGGGAGGCGAGCGATAAGGCCGCACTCATGATTAAGAACGCCTGAGGTGCTTGAAAGTGTTTGGGTTCTCGGGGTCCCCCCAGGGACGCTCCGTAGCCACTCTGGGCCGTCCCGTGACGGTATGCAGGGTTTTGTGGAGGCCCCTTGGAGGTCCAGTGGAGGCCATCCGTGGACCACTGCGTGCCCTCCTGCCGGCCAGCTTGGACAGCGCCTCACTTCGTCTTGCCTTGCCGGGGCCGACGTGACACGTCGGTCCTGGACCTGTGGCCGAGGGGCGGCTGGAAGGGCTGGCCCGTCGGGACATGAGAACGAACGGCTGGAGAGAGGCCGCTCGATTCAAGCAGCCGCCCAAAACCCCAAAGCGCGAGTGCCAAAACAAAGCGGAGGTTCCTTTCTATTTTTGTTGGGGGACAGTTTTCGGGGTAGGGTTTCGCGTGGGGGGCCACGGCGCACGCAAGCCATACCCCAAAATCATTGTCGATTCCTCAAGCGTCGGTCAATCAACGATTTTGCGGTCGGGTTTTCCGCTGTTGGTCGAGTGGGGCGTCAGTCAGGACAAGGTCTGAGAGAAACCCTCGGTCCAGAGATGATGGGCCTGCTTTCCACCACCACCATAAGTCGGAGGGGTAGGGGGTCCTCCTCCTCCTCCTCCTCTTCCTCCTCCTCCTCCTCCTCCTCCTCCTCATCCTCCTCCTCCTCCTCCCTCCTCCCTCCCTCCTCCTCCTCCTCCTCCTCCTCCTTCCTTTCCTCCCTCCTATCCACCTCCCTCCTCCTCCTCCTCCTCCTCCTCCTCTTCCTCCTCCTCCTCGTCATCGTCGTCGTCCCTCGTCCTCCTCCACCACCACCACCACCTTCTCCCTCCTCCTCCTCCTCCTCCTCCTCCTCCTCTTCGTCCTCCTCCTCTTCGTCCTCGTCTACGTCCTCCTCCACCACCTCCTCCTCCTCCTCCTCCTCCTCCTCCTCCTCCTCCTCCTCCCCCTCCTCCTCCCCCTCCCCCTCCAACTTATGGTGGTGGTGGTGGATAGCAGGCCCAGCAAGAGAGGACCTTCTGTTCCTCGGGAGCGGGCCTTCCGCCTCGGAGTGCTCGTCGCCCTGGGCCCCTCCAGGGAGCCGTGGGCCTGCGGCGAAGGGGGTCGTGTTTCGGGGGGGGAAAAACACACACAGGCACAATTGATCTTCGTCGATTCCTTAGGAAATATGGGAAAATATGGGGGGAGTGCGGGGGAAGACAAAAACCTAGAAAATATGGACAAATATGGGGGCATGTCTTATTTCTGTATATTTATTTGTGTGTCCCAGGGCCCAGGGCCCCTTCAATGTTGTTGAGCCTGGGTCTTGTGGCCATGCTTCGACTGGACCCCCCCCCCCTCTGGGCGGCTCGGGCGAAGCATCGCCCAAGCCCAGGGAGAGTGTGACTACGGCCTCTCCTGGAGGAACGACCAGTGACGTAAACACAAAAGCTCGGAGGTCCGCGGGGAGTTCTCCGATGGGCGCTGGACCCCCCTGGCGGCGCCTCCGGCGCCGCCCCTGGCGCGCTCCCGCCCCCGGCGCGCTCCGCGCGCCAGGGGGAGAGGGGTCCAGCGCCGCTCCGAAAACTCCGCGCGGACCTCCGAGTTTTTGTGTTTCTGTCAGTGGTCCTTCCCCCTCTCTCCTGTCCTCTCTCTCCCGCAGGGCCCGGTGGACGACCCCCTGCATCGCCGCCACCCCTCTTGGGAGCCCTCCGCGCATGGGGCTGCACAGGAAGGGCCTCGTCTCCCCGGGCGAGTGGCACCCGGTCACCCTCTGGCCGCCGATCAGCCCCGTCACGATCTGGAGGACGGCCCTCTACTTCAGGAACATGATCTGGCAGCCTGCGGCAGACCACTCCCAGGCGCATCCCCTCCCTCCTCCCTCCTCCCTCCTCCCTCCTCCTCCCTTCTCCAGGGGGCAGCCTGCGGCAGACCACTCCCGGGCGCAGCCATAACTCGAGGCTTCCCAGATTGGGGTCGGAGTAGATGGGCTCGGGGGATCGCGCCGCATCGCCGGTGCACCGCCGAGGCGGCACGATGCGAAGCTCGATTTGCTTCACGCCGGCGTCGCCAACGCATCGCCGACGTCGACGACGCGTTGCCGGTGCGTCGCCGGTGCATCGCCGATACTTCGTCGATGTATCGGCGATGCGGCGCGATCCTCCGACCTCGTCTACTCCGACTCCATCTAGGAGGCCTCTAATAACGAGCCTGTGTCTGAGGCCGGGCCCCAGTCCAGTCCAAATCTGGCGCGGGCCTCAAAACATGCGGCCGCAGAGGACCGACAGAAACCTTGCCGGGCAGCATTTTTGCGTCGCAGCGCGGCAGGCGCAATCTTCACGCGCGTTCTAGTGGGCCAGGCGATGGCAGGCACGAGGTGTCCGGCGGCAAGAGGAGGCGACACGGGCGGAGCGCGGCCGAGGAGGCAGGACGAGGAGAGAGAGCACGGTCACAGCGCGACGGACTTCGACTGGAGTGGCCGGGCTCTGCCAGAGAGCTGACAAGCATTCTCATGCGCCCCAGCGTGCCGCTGGCAGGGAGGCGGATCAGGCCGCACGTGACGGTCAAGATCTGGGACGCGCGCGAGGCGGAGGCGAGGGAGGGGCTCTCCAAGGCGGAGTTCTTCCAGAAGCACAGCTTCGTGCTGCTGCACCGGCCCACCGCCATGACGGCGAGGGACTGGATGCTCAGCGCGCCCCGGACCCTAGACCTCTCGCACTTCTTGGGCGTCGCGTGATGGGGGGGCAGCGAGGGCTGCAGAAAAGGGGCCCTTCAGGGCCCGGGCACTTGAAGGCTCCACACGGGGCCTTCAGGGCCCGAGAAGTGCGTCTTTCTCCCCTTCGATTTGTCGCCCTCCCATTAAGCGACGCCCGAACTTCATCGGCGGCTACGGCATGCCAGAGAAGGAGACCCCCCTCTCGAGGCTCTACGCGAGGGAGGTCGAGCAGGTCGTGCGGGAGTTGCTCCCCGACTGTACGCACGTGGAGCTGGACCCGCAGTGCGCCCGCAGGGGCCCTGGGACCAAGAACCCGACCTACAGCCTGGCCGTGCACGCCGACTACGGGTTCACCGCGGAGGACTACCCCATGTGATGGGCAAGCTTTCCACTACCACTACCAGATGTAGGACGGGGGAGAAGGGAGGATGAGGAGGTCCTCCTCCTCCTCCTCCTCCTCCTCCTCCTCCTCCTCCTCCTCCTCCTCCTCCCTCTCCCACCTATGGTGCTGGTGGTGGTGGTGGTGGTGGGAAAGCGGCCCATCACCATGGCCGACCGGCCGGAGTCCGCCTTCCGCAGGCGGTTCGAGAGCCCCTCCCGCCACCCCCTCCCGGCCGGGCGCGGCCCCCGATGGTTGTCCCGCGGGTTGACCCGATGGTTGTCCCGATGGTTGTCCCGATGGTTGTCCCGATGGTTGTCCCGACGCTTGTCCCGACGCTTGTCCCGACTCTTGTCCCGATGCTTGTCCCGATGCTTGTCCCGATGGTTGTCCCGTTGCTTGTCTCGATGGTCGTCCCGATGGTCGTTCCTATGGTTGTCCCGATGGTTGTCCCGTTGCTTGTCCCGATGGCCGTCCCGATGGTCGTTCCTATGGTTGTCCCGATGGTTGGCCCGATGGTTGTCCCGATGCTTGTCCCCGCAGGCGGTTCGAGAGCCCCGACGTGCGCGGCATGATGGTGCTGAACTTCTGGCGGCCCGTCCTGCCCATGCGTGGGCCGGTGCTCAAGACGCCGCTGGCTGTCGGGAGCCTCGAGACGGGGGTCAATGCTCGGGCCGGGCGAAAGGGGGGGATTGGGAAAGGGGGGGTTACGAAATTTGCTGCATGCAGCTGGTTTCGGCCCCACCGAGGGGCCCATTCCTCGATACATGGCCGCCTCCCGGCGCCGGGAGGCGCCAGGAGAATCAGCTACGCGAGCTGATTCTCAAACCCCCCCTTTGCTATCCCCCCCTTTCGCCCGACCCGACAGACGGGGGTCAGCCAGGGCACCGGATCCTGCAGGATCCTGCGAAGACCCCTTCTGGCTGACCAGGGTTAGCGAGCCGCTCGTGGCCGCGAGGCGGCCGCGCCTATTGGCTGACCCGGGTTTGCGAAGACCTGCGTTGCAGTTTTGTTTTTCCTGCATTGCAGTTTTTGGTTTCCTGCTGACCGGGTCTGGATTGACCCGGGTCAGAAGATCCCCGAGGCTGTCTGTGACCCCGGGAGCGTGGACCTGGAGGACGCGCTCGGCGTCAACATCTCGGAGGCTGCGAGGGGTGGTCCTGGCCCAGAGCAGGGGTCGACCTCAAAGCGGTGCTCGGCCGTTTTGGTTATTCGATCTGCAGCAAGGGCGGATTGACGACGAACCGAGGGGATGCTCAAATCGTTCCCTGACCCAAAAGTGTCCCCAGCGTTTCTCCCAATTCTGGAGCCCTTGCTGGGGCCCTCGGGGGCCCTGGGCCAATCGGGCCAGGGCGCCATCTCTGGCAGCACCCGAGCGTCCGGTGGGACGAGCTGGGCTACGTGAAGATGCTGGTGCTCAGGAGGGGAAGAGCACACGCAGAGACACAACTCATCGTAGACCCCAGGAATCGGAGGTGGGGGGGCGTGAACGGAAGTGGCCCCAACTGGGAAGTCGGTTTCAGTTCGTGTCGTGGGGTGCGGGCGTGGCGAAGCTGCGCGAGTTCCTGCACTGGTAGGGCGCCACATGGAGCCCACACGGTCGCCCGCCCCCCCCCCCGCCCCCCCCCCGGCCGGGCGCGGCCTCCCATGGTTGTCCCGATGGTTGTCCCGATGGTTGTCCCGACGCTTGTCCCGATGGTTGTCCCGATGGTTGTCCCGATGGTTGTCCCGACGCTTGTCCCGGTGCTTGTCCCGATGGTTGTCCCGGTGCTTGTCCCGACGCTTGTCCCGATGCCTGTCCCGACGCTTGTCCCGATGGTTGTCCCGATGCTTGTCCCGATGGTTGTCCCGATGCCTGTCCCGATGCCTGTCCCGATGGTTGTTCCGATGGTTGTCCCGATGCTTGTCCCGATGCTTGTCCCGATGCTTGTCCCGATGCTTGTCCCGATGGTTGTCCCGACGGTTGTCCCGATGGTTGTCCCGACGCTTGTCCCGACGCTTATCCCGATGCCTGTCCCGACGGTTGTCCCGATGGTGCTCCCGATGATTGTCCCGATGGTTGTCCCGGTGCTTGTCCCGATGGTTGTCCCGATGGCTGTTCCGATGCTTGTCCCGATGGATGTCCCGACGGTTGTCCCGACGCTTGTCCCGATGGTTGTCCCGATGGTTGTCCCGACGGTTGTCCCGATGATTGTCCCGACAGTTGTCCCGACGCTTGTCCCGATGCCTGTCCCGACGGTTGTCCCGATGGTTGTCCCGATGATGTCCCGATGGTTGTCCCGGTGCTTGTCCCGATGTTGTCCCGATGGCTGTCCCGATGCTTGTCCCGATGGTTGTCCCGACGGTTGTCCCGAGTTTGTCCCGATGTTGTCCGAACGCTTGTCCGGTGCTTGTCCCGATGGTTGTCCCGGTGCTTGTCCGACGCTTGTCCCGATGCCTGTCCCGACGCTTGTCCCGATGGTTGTCCCGATGGTTGTCCCGGTGCTTGTCCCGATGGTTGTCCCGATGCCTGTCCCGATGGTTGTTCCGATGGTTGTCCCGATGCTTGTCCCGATGCTTGTCCCGATGCTTGTCCCGATGCTTGTCCCGATGGTTGTCCCGACGGTTGTCCCGATGGTTGTCCCGACGCTTGTCCCGACGCTTATCCCGATGCCTGTCCCGACGGTTGTCCCGATGGTTGTCCCGATGATTGTCCCGATGGTTGTCCCGGTGCTTGTCCCGATGGTTGTCCCGATGGCTGTACCGATGCTTGTCCCGATGGATGTCCCGACGGTTGTCCCGACGCTTGTCCCGATGGTTGTCCCGATGGTTGTCCCGACGCTTGTCCCGATGATTGTCCCGACAGTTGTCCCGACGCTTGTCCCGATGCCTGTCCCGACGGTTGTCCCGATGGTTGTCCCGATGATTGTCCCGATGGTTGTCCCGGTGCTTGTCCCGATGATTGTCCCGATGGCTGTCCCGATGCTTGTTCCGATGGTTGTCCCGACGGTTGTCCCGACGCTTGTCCCGATGGTTGTCCCGATGGTTGTCCCGACGCTTGTCCCGGTGCTTGTCCCGATGGTTGTCCCGGTGCTTGTCCCGACGCTTGTCCCGATGCCTGTCCCGACGCTTGTCCCTATGGTTGTCCCGATGCTTGTCCCGATGGTTGTCCCGATGCCTGTCCCGGTGCCTGTCCCGATGGTTGTTCCGATGGTTGTCCCGATGCTTGTCCCGATGCTTGTCCCGATGGTTGTCCCGATGGTTGTCCCGATGGTTGTCCCGACGGTTGTCCCGATGGTTGTCCCGACGCTTGTCCCGACGCTTATCCCGATGCCTGTCCCGACGGTTGTCCCGACGGTTGTCCCGATGATTGTCCCGATGGTTGTCCCGGTGCTTGGCCCGATGGTTGTCCCGATGGCTGTTCCGATGCTTGTCCCGATGGATGTCCCGACGGTTGTCCCGACGCTTGTCCCGATGGTTGTCCCGATGGTTGTCCCGACGGTTGTCCCGACGATTGTCCCGACAGTTGTCCCGACGCTTGTCCCGATGCCTGTCCCGACGGTTGTCCCGATGGTTGTCCCGATGAATGTCCCGATGGTTGTCCCGGTGCTTGTCCCGATTGTTGTCCCGATGGCTGTCCCGATGCTTGTCCCGATGGATGTCCCGACAATGTGTCCCGGACGCTTGTTCACGATGGTCGTCCCGTGTTGTCCCGACGCGTGTCGCGATGGTTGTCCCGATGGTTGTCCCGATGGTTGTCCCGATGGGTGTCCCGATGGTTGTCCCGATGGTTGTCCCGATGGTTGTCCCGATGGATGTCCCGATGGTTGTCCCGATGGATGTCCCGATGGCTGTTCCGATGGTTGTCCCGATGGCTGTCCCGATGGGTGTCCCGATGGTTGTCCCGATGCTTGTCCCGAGATGGTATCCCGACGCTTGTCCGAATGATTGTCACGGACAGTTGTCCCGATCGGGTTGTCCGATTGCCTTGTCCCGATGGATGCCCCGACGGTTGTCCCGATGCTTGTCCCGATGGTTGTCCCGGTGCTTGTCCCGATGGTTGTCCCGATGGCTGTCCCGATGATTGTCCCGATGGATGTCCCGACGGTTGTCCCGACGCTTGTCCCGATGGTTGTCCCGATGGTTGTCCCGACGCTTGTCCCGATGATTGTCCCGACAGTTGTCCCGATGGTTGTCCCGATGCTTGTCCCGATGGATGCCCCGACGGTTGTCCCGATGATTGTCCCGGATGGTTGTCCCGGTGTTGTCCGATGGTTTGTTCCTGATGGCTGTCCCGATGATGTTCCCGATTGTTTTCCAATGGTTGTCCTTCCCTTTCCCCGATGGTTGTCCCGATGCATTGTCCGATGGATTGTCCGATGACTGTCCCGACAGTTGTACCTGATGGTTGTCCCAGAGGCGTCACGATGGATGCCCAGGAGGACGAAGGCGATGAACCTTCGGGCGAAGAGAACTATGCACAAGCACCGATCCTGGCAAGGCCCATTTTTGACCCAGGATCGGTGCATATGCCTTCCTGGCCAAGGTAGGAGGGCGTATGCACCGATCCTGGGCTCAGGATGGGCCTGGCCAGAATCGGTGCATGTGCATAGTTCTTTTCCCTCTATGGTTGTCCCGATGCTTGTCCCGATGGATGTCCCGACGGTTGTCCCGATGGCTGTCCCGATGGTTGTCCCGATGGATGTCCCAATGGTTGTCCCAATGGTTGCCCCGATGGTTGTCCCGATGCTTGTCCCGATGATTGTCCCGATGCTTGTCCCAATTGTTGTCCCGATGGTTGTCCCGACGCTTGTCCCGGTGCTTGTCCCGATGTTTGTCCCGATGATTGTCCCGATGGTTGTCCCGACGTTTGTCCCGATGGTTGTCCCGATGGTTGTCCCGATGGTTGCCCCGATGGTTGTCCCGATGCTTGTCCCGGTGCTTGTCCCGATGGTTGTCCGATGCTTGTCCCGATGGTTGTCCCGACGATTGTCCCGATGGTTGTCCCGACGCTTGTCCCGATGGTTGTCCCGATGCTTGTCCCGATGGTTGTCTCGGATGCTGTCCCGATGCTTGTCCCGATGGTGTTCCGAGGTTGTCCCGATGCTTTGTCCCGATGGGTGTCCCGATCCGGTTGTTTGATGCTGTCCCGAGCTGTCCCGATGGTTGTCCCGAGACTTGTACCCGATGGATTCCCCGAGGTTGTCCGGATGGTTGTCCCGATGGTATGTCCCGACGGCTTGTACCCGATTGATTGTCCCGACAGTTGTTCCGGATGGTGTCCGATGCTTGTCCGATGATGTCCCGACGTTGTCCGATGATTGTCCCGATGGTTGTCCCGGTGCTTGTCCCGATGGTTGTGCCGATGGCTGTCCCGATGCTTGTCCCGATGGTTTTCCCTATGATTGTCCCAATGGTTGCCCCGATGGTTGTCCCGATGCTTGTCCCGATGATTGTCCCGATGCTTGTCCCAACGGTTGTCCCGATGGTTGTCCCGACGCTTGTCCCGGTGCTTGTCCCGATGTTTGTCCCGATGGTTGTCCCGATGGTTGTCCCGACGTTTGTCGCGATGGTTGTCCCGATGATTGTCCCGATGGTTGTCCCGATGATTGTCCCGATGGATGTCCCGACGATTGTCCCGATGGTTGTCCCGATGCTTGTCCCGATGGTTGTCCCGATGGTTGTCCCGATGGTTGTCCGATGGTTGTCCCGATGCTTGTCCCGATGGTTGTCCCGATGGTTGTCCCGATGGTTGTCCCGACGCTTGTCCCGGTGCTTGTCCCGATGGTTGTCCCGATGCTTGTCCCGATGGTTGTCCCGATGGTTGTCCCGATGTCTTTCCAGACGCTCGTCCCAATGCTTGTCCCGACAGTTGTCCCGATGCTTGTCCCGATGGATGTCCCGACGGTTGTCCCGATGGTTGTCCCGATGCTTGCCCCGATGGTTGTCCCGATGGTTGTCCCGATGCTTGTCCCGATGGTTGTCCCGACGCTTGTCCCAATGGTTATCCCGACGGTTGTCACGATGGTTGTCCCGATGGTTGTCCCGACGCTCGTCCCAATGCTTGTCCCGACAGTTGTCCCGATGGTTGTCCCGATGGTTGTCCCGATGGTTGTCCCGACGCTTGTCCCGATGCTTGTCCCGATGGTTGTCCCGACGATTGTCCCGATGGTTGTCCCGATGGTTGTCCCAATGCTTGTCCCGATGGTTGTCCCGATGGTTGTCCCGATGGTTGTCCCGATGCTTGTTCCTATGGTTGTCCCAATGGTCGTCCCGATGATTGTCCCGATGGTTGTCCCGATGCTTGTCCCGTTGCTTGTCCCAATGGTTGTCCCGATGGTTGTCCCGATGGTTGTCCTGATGGAGGTCCCGATGGTTGTCCCGATGGTTGCTCCGACTGTTGTGCTGACGGTTGTCCCGATGGTTGTCCCGATGGTTTCCCCTCTGGTTGTCCCAACGGTTGTCTCGATGTTTGTCCCGATGATTGTCCCGATGGTTGCCCCTATTGCTGTCCCGATGGTTGTCCCGACGGTTGTCCTGACGGTTATCCCGATGTTTGTCCCGACGGTTGACCCGAGAGAGAGAGAGAGGTCGATAGATAGATAGATAGACCGAGATATATATTGATAGATCGATTGATTGATACGTGGACTCGATAGACAGATATAGAGATGCATTGATGGATCGATAGAAACATGGACCTACATTTATATAGGTATATGAGTATATATGTATATATATACAGTAGTTCGAGGCAAGCGGAAGTAATTGGGACTTCTTTGCCCGCGCATTCTTTGGTGGCGGCAGGTGGGAGCCATCGCACATCGATCGCCTTTCCTTTCCCCCCCAACCTCCTTATCACCCGTAGGGTGGTCCTTTCGGTGTATGGGAAAATGTGGGAAGTGGGGGGAAGACGAAAACCCAGAACGTGTGGGAAAAACCATGGGAATCCTGGGACTGGTGCGTATTCATTCATGTGCCCTCTGGCCCCGTCAGGTGCTGGCGCACGACGAGAGGCAGAAGTGGTACTTCCGCCGCGGTCGCTCGGACGCACTCGTCGGGGCCAAGGGCGGGAGGTAGGGTGCCACATGCGAACCCTACCCCTACCCCCCACGCTTTCAGAGGGGGAGGGCGGGGTTCACTCTGTTCGGGAGCCCCCGAGCGAAGTGAACCCCACCCTCCCCCTCAGAAAGCGTGGGGTGTATGGGGCAGGGTTCGCATGTGGCCTCCTTAGGGGGGGGGAGCCCACGATCTAAGCAGGCCCCCTTTCCGCAGAGCGCTCGGCCTCGAGCCACGCATCCTTGCCCTCCTGCGGCGTCGGGCCCTGGTCCTCCCTGCCCTGCGCCGCGCGCTCTGCTGCGGGTGCTGCTGCCGCCGCCACTGCTGCTGCGGGCTCGGGGGGCGCGTTGGCCTTCGCACCCAGCCTCGGCGACGCGGATTCGTCACGTGGCGCGAATCGGAGGAGGAGGAGGAGGAGGAGGAGGAGGAGGAGGAGGAGGAGGAGGAGGAGGAGATGGAGGAGGAGGAAGAGGAGGGGGATCCGGTGGGGAGGGGGGAACTTCGCATCACGTGACGAAATCCCTCTGCCTACAGGCAGTGTGGGCTCATCCCTCACACGTCCCGTGCACCGCGCCCAGGAGGCCCGCCAAGGCGCACCGGTGCCCCGGGCGATGATCACGGAAAAAGAGTTGGGCTCCAGGCCTGCTCGTGGGCGGCGTCGTCGTCACTGAGCTTGCTTGACCGTCGTCTCCAAGATCGTGCCCAGCGGCAGGACGCGACTCCGAGTTTCTTAATAAGCGTCAGGGGGGCGTCGCCCCCGCCAACAATCCCACATCGACCCCCGTCGCGGGCAGCCGTCTTGCGCCGATAGCGCTCCGACCCCCGTCGCGGCGCGACGAGGAGGCGAGGTTGACCCCCGTCGGGGGGTACCCTACCCCCCCACGATTATTAAGAAACCCAGAGTATGTTTGAGCATCGTTCTCCCCCCGTGCTCTTTCGCTTCGCTGCCAGACTGCATTACTACACGCGCTCTGCTCCGCTCTGGGAGCTCTGGCTACGGCGCCAGTGGGCGCGCAGGCTGTGTACCATCGCCATCGTACTGACGCACACTTGAGAGTTATATCGTGGACCCGTTGATAGACGCAAGTGTTCAGCCCTCGGGTCGACGACCTCCGCGAGTCGCCGAAGAACGCCAGAAGCCACTAAAGACCGCCGAATACCGTCAGCAGGCAGCCGAAGACCGCCCCATGCCGATTGGCAGCAGGGGGTCCATGGTCGACTGCGCAGCACACCCCTCGCCCGCTCCGTGCCTCGCTCGGACAGCCTATCGGCGGTCTTGGTCGGCGTGTCCGTACGCGCACCACCCACGCCTTGGCACCTCGCTCGCATGTTTCCTGGCCCATCTATTCGGCGGCCAGTCCTGGGGGGGAAGCGAGCAGGGGTGGGCCAGGACGTCGCACGTCTGGGGCGGCGACCCAGCCGCCGGCGTTCAACGTTGACCGCCGCCAGTGGCCAAGAATCGGCCCATCCTTGAACCATTCGACGTTTCGGGAACGGCCGATCGGTCAAAGTTGGACGATCCCCGCAGTG